TAAAATAACAAATTGGTGTGCTCTACCATTCACCAAGTAGCAGTGATGCTGACTTTGTTATATATTTGAATGAGCTGATTAATGAATACCTCAAAGAATCAGATAATAATCTAATAGTCGGAGACTTTAATATAAACATGAATATATCGTCAACATACTCAAACCAGCTTAAAAGTTTATTTGTGAAAATGGGAATGATACAAATAATTAGTTTTAACAGGAGAATAACACAGTATTCAGCCACAAAAATTGACCTATTATTCAGCAATAATGATCAAATCAAAACGGAGTGTGAAAATTCATTTTAAAGTACCCACTACAAAATATTCCAAAATGAGAAGATATGTAACTGTCGTCTCTTGGGAGCACTATAGCGCTGAGAATCTTATACACCTGTTGCGAGCCTACGATTTCAGCCGTGTGTCTTGTACCGAAATAGAAAATAGAGTCCTGGTTTTGAATAGTAATCTATAATGTTGCGATAAGCACAGGTCAATGGCATGGTTATAATGTTATTAAAAAACTATATAAAAAAACCATAATATTTAAAAAGAAGAAATATATGGAAAATCAAGTACTTAAAAATGAAGGAAACGTGAAATTGATGTGGAAATGTTTGAAAGATGCTGTGGAATTGACAGATAGCAGGGAATGTATTACAAAAATAATATTCAACGGTGAATGCTTTGAGAATAATCATGATATAGCTAATATATTAAATGGTTATTTCGTGCAGAGCATAGTTCAAATTAATGATAGAAAAAAATACAGTTGCTGATGAAATAAGCCTAAATAGCACGCTAGCAACATTTGAATTCGTGGACATCGAACTAGAAGATATAATGGACATCACTAACGCATTTAAAAACAAACATGGTGGGAAAAAGCTGTTGTCAGAGGGTGTTTTCAAAGACTCTATGATGTATATTGCTCACTTATATAAGGAAATTATAAACGAATCACTTAATATAAGCATTGTTCCTGATTGCTGGAAGATATCAACAATAGTACCGGTGGAAAAAGTTAAAAATACGATGAAGCCAGAAGAATTACGCCCGATTAACACTTTACCCGCAGATGAAAAAATTATGGAAACAGTGGTAAAAAACCAACTAATAGCATTCTTCGAAAAACAAAATGTAATTATACCGGAACAATCAGGGTTCAGAAAGAACCATTCGTGTGAAACAGCACTGAACATGGTAATTGCGGAATGGAAAGGGGATGTAGCTGACAAAAAGGTGGTGGTGGCTGGGTTCTTAGACTTGAAGCGGGCTTTTGAAACAGTTGATAGAGATGTATTGCTGGACGTCATGTATAAAACTGGTATCAGAGGGAAAGCGTTGGAATGGTTCCGAAGTTATTTGAGCAAAAGAAAGCAGAGGACGATAATTGGAGATGCAGTATCGTCGGTTACTGATGTAAACATTGGTCTACCGCAAGGTTCAGTATTGGCACCAATCTTATTTATAATTTATATTAACGATATTAAAACGTGTTTGAAAAATTGTAAAATACGTCTGTTTGCGGATGACGCATTGGTTAGCATTAGTGGGAAAAATGTAAAAAATTGTTCTATTGCGAAAATGCAAGAAGATTTCAATTCTTTGTATAAATGGTTATGCCATAGAAAGCTGAAACTGAACGTAGATAAAACTAAGTATATGATAATATGCAAGAACCACAACATTATACATAATAATGACTTAAGCGATATAAGTCTGAAGATTAAAAACTGTGAAATTCAAAGAGTAAATAAAATGAAGTATTTGGGAGTGATAATCGATGAAACACTAAATTTTGGAGAACATATAGGTTACTTAGAGAACAAAATTTCAAAGAAAATAGGCTTTATGTATAGAACTTGCAAACATATTAGTCAACATTACAAAATATTGGTATATCGATCGATTATAGAACCACACTTTATATACTGCCCAACAATAATACTGTTAGCAAGTGATACACAAGCTAAGAAACTACAAATACAGCAAAACAAAGCAATGCGATTATATAATATTATTATTAATATTAAAATGTAATTCACGAACATCGAAGAATACAATGCTAAATATGTTAAATTGGCTTAGTATAAAACAATCAATTAGCTATTACACATTGAAATTTATACATAATATAAAATTAGGAATGTTACCAAATTACTTGAGTGATGGAATACATTATAATACTGAGATTCATAATTATGAAACTAGAAGTAACCAAAATATAAGACTGCCTATAGTAAGAACGGAGTTCGCAAAAAAGTCCTTAGAATACGTAGGTTATAAAATGTACAATGAATTACAAAATGAGATAAAAAACTGTGAAAATATCAATAAGTTTAAAGAAAAATTATTTTTATACAGCAAAACGTTAAATATGTAACATTTTTGTAACACTGAATTTACTTTGAATTAGAAATAAATAAAAAATAAAGAAAAATATTGACTAAATATGGGTGTTTCCAGCGGAAGGTCCACCACGACAAAAAAATAAAAGTTTTATATCTAACGTATTTACGGGCCGATTTGTCTGCTTTTTAAAGTATATACTGGCTATGTAAGTAGAATCATGTTTGCATAAAATGGTCTTCCTAGGTGGTGCCAAGGTCGAGATATTTCGAAAAACCGTATTTATGGTCCGATTTGGTTCGAATTTGGCGTATGTGGTTGAAACATAATAAATCATAGATTTTTAATAAATTGACCCTGAATTGGCGCTGAAGTCAAAATATAAAGTATATTCTACATAAAATACATATTAATAAAAATATAACGATGGAAATTTATGTCACGCGACGCCACGTCACGTCACGTATCACACTTGGCGTTGTAAAATAGAATTGAAACAATTTGCATTAATTCAAAAAACTATAAAAACAACTAGAATTGCTCCAAATCATATTAAAATAAGTTTCATGAAAATAGCCATCCACAATTCGCAGAGTTTTGCGATTTTGTAAGAAAAGAAAAAATTAACTTCCATTTTTTGTCACGTAACGAACCTCTCTTTAAATGCTTATATTTCAGGACCAAGCAGTTCGATTGATTTCATTTTTCGGTTAAATATAGAACTAATTATGTGCTATTCAATGGCCCAAAAAAGTTAAAGAAAACAAATGGTATTCCTTTTTTGTATCACATTGAAATCGTACGACTGTCACGTGCGCCACCATGGGAATGCCCATATGTCGTCCTTATCCAGTAAGGAATTTGGTAAAATATCATTACTATACATTAGACTGCAGCACCAAAAAAAGTTGCGGTTTTTCCGCCAGGATTACAAAATTTATTATATTTTAAGACGTCCACCAAAATATTTCGGAAAAATATTAAGATTTAAGCGAGCTGGACCGATTTGAAAATACCTTCAAAAATGTCGTTTTTTATGAATAAAAATAGTTTCTTAAAGAACTTTTTGAAAAAGTCCCCTCAAAT